TTATATATTTTCTTTAATAATATCTGTTTAACATTTTACCCATTTTCCCGTTTTTCCTACGTTTTATCTCGGGTTTTTTTTCATGTTTTTTCCTATTTATAATGAAAACAGCTGGGGAAATCATGACCTCCGATCTCCCCAAAGAACCAACCCAGTCAGATTTCCTTTCAGAAAAAGTGCTATAATCGAAAATTGAAGCAAACATGTTGGTAGAAATATTGTCCACGGAAAAAATAAACAAATAAACATCATTGTAAAACCAATACATTTCTCGCTCCGAACAGAATCTAAAAGAAAAACATTGTTTTTATAATATTGACAAATTTAATAGAGACAATTTAAAAACACACACGATACGCGCCTTTTGATTTTATATAAACCGATAACACACGAGCATTTCTACACGAAGATTTTGAGTAAATTTCTCGTGACCTATGTATGTAATTTTTTTTTCTTCCTGTCCATCTTAGATATATTTTCTTATATTCCATCTTTCAAAAAACGAAAGTTCAGTGACCCTTCATTTGATGTTGGCAATAATCTCTTTTCAGAGCTCTCTATTTTCTGCTGGCTGCTCCTAGCGGATAGCCAGTGGTGGTCTGGATCTAGTTTATCCAACGCATTGGTGTTCTCCCACGGTTTTTTTCCCTTCTATCGTATCTTCGATCATCAGTTTCTCTAGCATTGATCCATATCTTTTTATGATATGGCAAAATAACCCTTAGGATTCTTTGTTTACACGTCTCTGCCAGTTTTATTTTCACATTTAGCATGTCTAGAATTGAGATGTTTGTCCTATTTTCCACCCAAGAGATTTTCAATATCCGTTTGTAGGCTCACATCTTAAAAATATTTATGCACTTTACATCTTCCACTTTGAGTGCCCATTCTTTCACATATATATACATAGAAAACACAGGCCGACCATTATAGCTATGGATATATTGATTGACGTAGTAACGCATGTTTTTAAACTCAGAATCGAAAAGAATTGATCTAGAAAAAAAAAATTGATACTCAATAACGGTAATATTAGATATATATTATAATAGTAGAGTAGGCTTAAATTTATATCGATATGACTCATTCCATATATTTTTGTCCTCGGTAATATCGATATGTTGACGATATTCGTAGCCAATTGTATAGATATTAATTTTTAAGTTTAATATTTTGCATTGAAGTTTTATCGTACCTCTTTTAAAGAGATATAGAAAAAAAGAAGCGTAAATTTCTCATATATTATATACACGATTGCGCAAGATTTTAAATGCAGCGTTGCCATAACTTATTAGTTATACGATCTCAGTGTACGACATGACAACAGTTAATGAAATAAATTATTATTTTTACACACTTTAAGATGACCGTGGTTATGATCTATATTTGTGTAATTGTGTAAATCGACTAATGCTAATTCCTTGTCTCGTTCTGATTTAATAATTTCTATACGTGACCCGATCATTTTTATTACATATACCAGCGGTTCCCAAACTGTGCGGTGCGCCAAAGGTGACGCGAGCACTTAACAAGGGAGGCGCGGCGCGCGGTGGGCATTTTGTACTTATAGTTATTTCTAGATCAATTATGCATCCGCTAACAATTTTAAAAAACGATTATCTTATCTTATCCATCCGATTTTTCACTACGAATGCAATTATGCATCGATGCATATCCAATTAATGGAACAGTATTAAAGATGAATGTCATGAAGTTAGCAACAAAGTTTTATGGTATATTTGCCACATCGTATTTGTGTGAAATAGGATTTTCAGCAGTAGCCGTATTAAAATCAAAATATCGGTTCAGACTCAATGTGGAAAAAGAAATGCGTGCTGCAGTAACTACGTTAATTTCTAATTTTGAAACACAAGCGCATTATTCGTATTAATTATTTTGTATAAAATAAAATAACAAGTTTACTATTAACTAATAAATATTAAATAATTGTTAACCTATTTTATTAAATATTCTTTGCGGGAGGCGTGAACAATTTTCTATTATTAGGGAGTCTTGAATGAAAAAAGTTTGGGAACCGCTGACACGTACAATAAAATATAAACTCTTAAAATCTGTCTACTGACAGTCACTAACTAAACTATGCGTTTTGAACTTGTGAAAACGTTTGCTACGATAACAATAATTTTATCTCGTACATATTTTATATTTATATTGACATTTTATACTATATGGACAAATATAAATATATTTTAACTTTGACAATGATAATGCTGTCGTTGTACATCTTGTGAAATTTCCTTACGGTTTCCGCGGTTTGTAATATATGAAGTTAAAGTAACATATTATTTTATACATGGCAACGTTGCATTTAAAATCTCGTGCAATCTTGTATGTATTTCGATGGCTATTAAAATATACACGATTACTCAAAATCTGCTCAATTGTTCATCACTGTGTCAAGAGTATTATATACCTGTATGCTCCGCTCAGACTATAATACGACAGTATAATCTGACCCAGACGGTCCGCGATAAACGAATCACTCTGTATACCCCGGCAAAACTGTCTCGTGTGCGATCGAGTTCTTCGAATTTACACGAAACTACTGTAGACGTAACATTATTATATTTCGTTCGGGACGTATCGTTTTCGCGGGGACCATTTCACGCGTAAACAGCCTGGGCGTGTTTTTTCGAATTTAAGGCGTAGAAAACCATCGGGGTTCGGAAGACGGTATATTATTGTATAGACGGAAAAAATATTATGGACATTTAATCAGTGCACGAATTGAACAAAAAGAAAAACAACAATAGGCGCAATAAGACTTAAAACAACAATTTTAGTAATTATTGAACTTAATCTAACGTATGGCAGCATTGCTTCACACAACCCTTTATACCAATTATTAAAAATAATTCAATGATTAATAATTAACGAAAAAAATAAATACTAATAACACTCACCACTGCGGACTAATTTTTTGTTTCAAAATTAGATATTTATAAATATTTATTTTAGATTCGGATATGATAATTAATAGGGCTCGAGACTTTTCGCAATTAAAATTCACAAAAAAGCGTTTAAAAACGCCAAAAAAATATTATAAGAACAAATGATAGAAGGGTTTAAAAGTCCTCTGTCTAACGATATTCTAACTGATAAATACAATTTTCTAACATCTAATTTTCTTGTTTAAGTAAAATTATACGTATTATAAAAATAACGTTTTATTATTGGGTATATGCTAAGATAAAACTTCAAGTAATATCTTAAAAAAAAAAGGTATTTTATTGATAACAATTACAATTTGAAATTTATTTATGGATAAAATGCAATCGCATTTCTTGTTTCCTAAAAATATTAGTATCTTAATAGCTAATTTATTCATGAAATATAATAAAAATAAACTGATAATGATAATAATCTTATATGAAACAGCAAAATATTGGAATTACTTACGTTTTTGAAAATATTGTAAAGTGCCTCGATACAGTGCATCCAACCACCTATAATAACGTGGATGTCCCCTTCTATCACAACCGGTCGTACCTATAATAACGATACGAGCCGGACAATCTAAAATACGAGCGCTTCTGTAAAGAAATCGTCTATACGAAACAAAATTAATTGTTTTAAATTGAATACTAATTACTAACATAAGAATATTAAAACAAAGTAATGATTTTAAAATATAAGACGTATTCTCATTTAACATTATACATGTTAAACCTTTCATTTCTTTGTTTTTGGCCGGGCATGCGCTACTTACTTAGATTGCACTAACGGTACACGACTGTTGAAAAATGTGTAACTCCTAATTCATGTCTTTTTTGTGTTCATCTACTTACCCATTCTCTTTAATATTTTGTTTTCGTTTTGAAATTATTGATTTGCTAACCAGGCACGGAACTAGGGATACACAATAAGGGTGGCCACAAAATCCCAACATTTTTCTTGGGCAGCCAAAATTGACTTACCTCTCCTCTGCCCCCCACTTAGACACTAATTTAATTTATAAGTCTGTTTATAGTGTTTATTTTATATTCTTGGTTAAAGGATAATGCTAGTTTTTTTATAATTTTGTTTAACTTTTTGTATTCAATTTTAGCCTTGAGTAGATTACCGAGCCACCTCAGGCCACCCCTTAATACGTAACTGTTGCCAAAAAATTTAATAACTGTAATAATAAACGTATAATTTAATATAATATTTATCCTATATATTAAATTAAATTTAAACATACTACACATAATTAACATATTTTAATTCCTTTGTGTAATTACCTAATATTGTTCACTTTATGTTTTTCGTAATACCTAATTATCGAAATTCATTTTATAATACATCGTTTAAATACGAAAATAACTGATACTGGTGTGTGTCAATTGTTGTAAGTGAGCAGATAGGAAGGTGGGATACACAAAGTTATTTAATTTATACCTGTAATTAACAATAAACCAAGGATGACGAACAACGATTCGGAGCGAAGTTCAATTATACATGTTTTGAAAGGCCGTAATAGTTAAGATTTTCATCAAAATCTAATATTAAATTTCTCTTATAGAAAAAAAAATGCACAAGCTAAATTTTTTTTTTGAACACAAAGTAAAATTTTTAAGAAAAATCCTGTTAAGTTTTTAAACATTTCCGTTTAGTGTAACTATTTTATCTATCTACAAGAGTACATACCGAATAGAAATTACGTAAAAAACTCACAAAATTAAAATGTCTATAATTAGCTCAAAAATGGATCAAAAACATTGAACATTTTACTGCCTCAAAAAAAAGAAAATAAGGTTTTCTATCAAAATCTTCTTTAAAATATATTAAACTAAATTACAAAAAAAACAAAAAACAACTTTGAAAACAATAAAATAATAATTTTTGTAAATTTGTATTGTTTAAAATAATATCATCTATTCACAAAGATAATATAATTTAAACAAATTATTTGAAACAGTTGTATAAAGTTTTACAATATAGTAACAAAATAGTAAAGTTTTATCGTTTATTTATTTAAACAAATAAGCAAAAAGTAACAGGTATTTCAAAAAAAACAAAAAATCACAAGTTAGTGGGGTGTATCCCATCAATGAGGCAATGTGAAGCTATTTGTCGCCATCATCATCGTCGACTAAATGCACACTATAAGACGGTGAATCCAAGTTGGAAGACGGTGACTCTAAGCTGTAGGACGGTGACTCCATGCTGTGAGACGGTGACAACAATCTGTAAGACGGTGACGCTGGGTGGTAATAGAAAGGTGACGCCGGGCTGTAGGGAGATAAAACAAAGTTATAGAACGGTGAATCTAAGCTAAAAGGCGATGACGTGGGGCTATAGGACGGTGATGGGGGGCTAGAAGACGGTGACGGGGGGCTAGAAGGCGGTGACTCAAATTTAAGATAAGGTTGCGCAGGACTATTAGATGGTGAATATAAGCTGTTGGACGGTGATTCTATGCAAAAGTGTGGTGTCTCTAACTTATATGATAGTAACGGGGGGCTAGAAGACGGTAAATTCAATTTATAGGACGGTGAAGGGTGGCTTGAGGGCGGTGACTTCAAGCTAAGAGACGGTGACGGAGGGCTATAGGACGGTGAATCTAGGCTGTAGTATGGTGACTTTAAGTTATAAGGTAATGATGTTGGGCTATAGGATGGTGAATCTAAGCTATAGGACGGTGAAGCCGTGCTGTAATAGTTTATTGACACAGGGCCGATGGACGAGCCATCTCTCAGTTTCTTCAAACATGAGTAATCTGTTAATGACGGTGGTAGTCGTCTTTTTCTTCCATTTAAACGGCCTAGGTCCGCTATCAATGGATCTCTAACGGTAGAATCATTATCATTGTAAACAATTGACACGGACTCTTCATCAGCTGTAGCATTTAAAGAAGTGGAGGCCAGACTGGACACCTCCAAAACTCTGCAGTTGCAAGATGACGACCGAAGAAAGCCTGCTTGCGCACTTTCTACTGCCGACAGCTGGGTCTCCGAACCCCCTGCTGTTGTAACTTCAATACTTCCGATGTTGTCTTCCATAAAGAGTTTTTTTAAATGGTATCTGTCCATTGCATTTTTACCCTACTGCCAGGGGGTTTTGTTCGTGGTTTTCCTTCCCCTAGGACGGCTGCCGGCCAAGGCTGAAGAGCCCGCCCTACCCTGATTTGTGTATNAAGCTGTTGGACGGTGATTCTATGCAAAAGTGTGGTGTCTCTAACTTACATGATAGTAACGGGGGGCTAGAAGACGGTGACGGGGGGCTAGAAGGCGGTGACTCAAATTTAAGATAAGGTGGCGCAGGACTATTAGATGGTGAATATAAGCTGTTGGACGGTGATTCTATGCAAAAGTGTGGTGTCTCTAACTTACATGATAGTAACGGGGGGCTAGAAGACGGTGACGGGGGGCTAGAAGGCGGTGACTCAAATTTAAGATAAGGTGGCGCAGGACTATTAGATGGTGAATATAAGCTGTTGGACGGTGATTCTATGCAAAAGTGTGGTGTCTCTAACTTATATGATAGTAACGGGGGGCTAGAAGACGGTAAATTAAATTTATAGGACGGTGAAGGGTGGCTTGAGGGCGGTGACTTCAAGCTAAGAGACGGTGACGGAGGGCTGTAGGACGGTAAATCTAGGCTGTTGGAAGGTGTCCTTATGCTATAAAGTGTTGACGTTGGGCTATAGGATGGTGACGAGGGGCTAGCAAACGGTGACGGGGGGCTAGAAGGCGGTGACTCAAATTTAAGATAAGGTGGCGCAGGACTATTGGACGGTGAATATAAGCTGTTGGACGGTGATCCTATGCAAAAGTGTGGTGTCTCTAACTTATAAGTGTGGTGTCTCTAACTTATATGATAGTAACGGGGGGCTAGAAGACGGTAAATTCAATGGCTAGAAGANGGAGGGCTGTAGGACGGAAAATCAAGGCTGTTGGAAGGTGTCCTTATGCTATAAGGTGTTGACGTTGGGCTATAGGATAGTGACGAGGGGCTAGAAAACGGTGACGGGAGGCTAGAAGGCGGTGACTTCAAGCTAAGAGACGGTGACGGAGGGCTATAGGACGGTGAATCTAGGCTGTAGTATGGTGACTTTAAGTTATAAGGTAATGATGTTGGGCTATAGGATGGTGAATCTAAGCTATAGGACGGTGAAGCCGTGCTGTAATAGTTTATTGACACAGGGCCGATGGACGAGCCATCTCTCAGTTTCTTCAAACATGAGTAATCTGTTAATGACGGTGGTAGTCGTCTTTTTCTTCCATTTAAACGGCCTAGGTCCGCTATCAATGGATCTCTAACGGTAGAATCATTATCATTGTAAACAATTGACACGGACTCTTCATCAGCTGTAGCATTTAAAGAAGTGGAGGCCAGACTGGACACCTCCAAAACTCTGCAGTTGCAAGATGACGACCGAAGAAAGCCTGCTTGCGCACTTTCTACTGCCGACAGCTGGGTCTCCGAACCCCCTGCTGTTGTAACTTCAATACTTCCGATGTTGTCTTCCATAAAGAGTTTTTTTAAATGGTATCTGTCCATTGCATTTTTACCCTACTGCCAGGGGGTTTTGTTCGTGGTTTTCCTTCCCCTAGGACGGCTGCCGGCCAAGGCTGAAGAGCCCGCCCTACCCTGATTTGTGTATTGTCCACGACTGCTTATTCGACCAGTTCCGTACTGGCTTATATCGCAGTTGTCCTCTACGAGGAACGTTCCCTTATCCGCAACCTGGGGACGCGCCCGGTAGCCCGACATGCCGTTCTGACGTAATGCCAGTACGGCCGCGGCTGCCGCCCCGCCGAGGCGGGACGGTGTGTCCGGGTATCAGATTGCCTGGATCACCAAAGTTGTCGCCAAAGCCACCGTTAAAGGCGTGAACAAGGTGACTTAGAAGACCACCGAAGGACTCGGAGTGGTGGCGCGAGAGGTAGGAAGGTGATGGTCCATCAGACCCTGTTAGCGGCTCCAAAAGAGAAAGATTCAAATAAAAATCAACAGCAGATGCGAATGCCACCATAGCAGCAGCTTTAATCTCAACACAAGAATAATTTACCGTCAAAAAAATATTAAAAAATTGATGTATTGATGTAATGATTTTTCTAGTACACTTACAAGTTTAATATCTACTGATTTTCTA